TGATCAATCATGTGGTCAATGGAAATATCAGGGATTGCATCATCAAATCACAGGAGGATGATCCAATATTTGGCCCAATAAAGCAGGCGATCCGAAATAATACTCATAATGAAGATAAAATAACCCTACCAATAACTGACTTTGATGTTATTAACAAATTCGCTTTTCATAAAAGGAAAAGGAAGCAACAGGAGGGATAATAGAAAGGAGTGTGTTCGTGAAACCGCAACTAGGGCAATTATTGGTTTCTTTCATGAGAGAGATTTGGCGGGCCACATGGGCGTGGAGAAGACAGTAGATAACATCTCTAGGAGATACTATTTCCACATGATGTGAAAGAAGGTGAGAGATTACATCCAGTTGTGTAATACGTGCCAAAAATATAACAGACACATGGGGAAAGCCCCCATTCAAGAATTCAATCCTGCTAAGTATACAATTCAGATGATGTCTGTTGATTTAATAGGGCCCCTTCCCACTTCTAAACAAGGTAATAGATACATCCTTGTGTTCGTCGATCTCTTTACGAAATATGCGGAGGCTATACCAATTCAGAGGCAAACTTCTGAAATAATAGCTGATGCACTGTTTAATCACATTGTCTGTAGATTTGGGTGTCCGAAGGAGTTGATCTCAGACTGTGAACCTAATCTCACTTCTAATATTATGGAGGACGCCTGTGAGGTTTTGAATATTAAGCACAAGCTGACTACCTCATATAGGCCAACATCAAATGGCTCGGTGGAGCGAGTAAATCAATGTATAATCAATATAATCAGTAAAATATCAGAAGGTGATAAGGAGAACTGGGACCAATACATCTTCCCAGCAATGTTTGCATATCGTAATACTGTCAACTTCTCCACCCATGAGCCCCCAAACTTTTTAATGTATGAATTTGACCCGGTCCTACCGGGAGAAACTGCCATTGAGGATACAAGTAATGTGAGATGTACTGATGAATATCAGTCTGAACTAATAGAAAGACTAAAGTTTGCCAGGGATGCGGCCTTTGAGATAAGTCGGATGGAACAAAGGAAGTCCATTGAATATTGGAATAAAAACCGGAAATTGAGGAGCCTGGGTATTGGACAGTGTGTCTGGCTCTTGAGACCACCTAATGACCCAAAAAGAAAAAAAATTTTCCCTTCACTACAAAGGTCCATTCCAAATCATTGAAATTATCAACGAAGTGAATTATAAGATTCGCGGAATGCATGACGGTGATGTCCAGACTGTCCATGTTGATATATTAAAACCTTTTTGGGGCCCAGTTACAGCCAGGAAGGATGCACGTACATCGGAGGGCAAAGTGAAGCCCTGTGGATGATTTCAATCTTTGGGATTATGATGATGAATGTGATCAAGACCCGAGATCAACCAAGCGAACTGAACCTGGAATGCCTCAAGGTGAATGATCCCTTAGTAACACGAAAACCCTGAAACCTTGCCCATACAACTTACATGGGAGAAGAATCAACTACCGTGCCATGGTTCGGGGAAATAGAGAGTGATACGTTATCATTCACTTTTATGTTATATCTTAAGGGGGGAGATATGTGGTGGTGCCCACCATGTTTTTTTTCCTCCCCTCCCTTTGTGAAGGCTTAAATGTGGTGTTTCTTTTATACTAAAATATTATTATTAATATGTATTATTAGTAACATTATGTCAATGTAAATCTTCGTGTGTTATAATAATTGTCTATTTTATTTTCTAATTTGTATTTTGGAATGTAACAAGAGGGGGCGCTAGGGGAAATTAGTATATAAGGTGTGTAAAAGGATCATGGGAGTTTTTTCTGTTTGAAGATTTTGGCAGGAGTAAGAAGAAAGGAAAGGACTGAGTGAAAAGGGAAGAAGAATAGGAAGAACTTGGATTAAAGGCAACTAGTCTTGTTGTATGTATATTTCCCATACGACCCCATTCTGGCTGTATTCCTAGTGTTAATATATGATTATCTTTGTTCTTAGTGTTGTCTGTTTTTCTTTGTTTACTCAAAACACGACACACCACAGTACCTTAATTTGGCTGAACATTAGAACATCTTTCAGCAGAATCAGTGAAAGAAATTTGGGGCAATGGTTTATGAATCGAGGTTTGACGTTCTGGTAACGTAATAACCATTTGAGTTTTTTTTTGGTTAAACGAATCCCCTACTTTTGCAATTGAGAAACAACTGGTTAAATTTATCTGACCAATGGTTTATGAGTTAGTAAGGAGAGAGAAATCATTGGAGGGGGTGGGGTGTCCGGGTTTTCTGATAGTTAAGCATGTTCTTGTAAATATTGTATTTGTAGAAAAAATTATTAAAATTGATTTGGTTTATTTGGTTACGGCAATGCAGCACATGAGTGACTGCCAAGTTACATCCTGAAAAGACTTATGTAAAGCTGGTCCCAATTTAAGTGTTACTAACATGAAGAAAATCCAGAAAACTCCACATGGACAGTCCATTGGCCATGCACAAACCCAAGACCGACTAACAGTGTTCGGTGGTTTTATCCACTCGGTTAATGGAGGGTATTTATTGGGCTGCAATTTGAAAGAATTGTAGACCTATAAATTCCCAATGTCATCCATCTGTCTCTGTCCTTCTTTAATCTCAAGAACAAAATCAGATAGATGAAAGTCGAGACCAGACATGGAAATCGTAAAAGAAAAGCACCATATTACCTATATATGAACTTCTGATTTGTAACACAAGTCACATTATTTCAATTCAAAAATTTTCCACTGAATGGAGTTAGATATATAGCTGGCACAACTCCATTGCTAACAGAAAAAGTATGATATACAGGGGACTATACTCCACACAGGCAAGTGCTATGTGCTACCTGTCAAAGTAATAGCACATCTATTTTGCACTATATCATTGTCACAGTATTTCAGTACATATAATATACAGTAAAACCTGTCTATGGCGACCACCCACGGTTCCTTCAACAAGTGGTCTTTTAGACAGGTGGTCGTCCAATACAGGTGGTGCTGTAATACCGTATTTCCGTATGTATTTTGTGCACTTTTTAGCCATTTCTACTAAGCAAAACTCAAGGAGAGCAAAAATAAGAGAATTTTTTCAACGATAGGACTATATTGGTATTGTATTTTATTCTTATCAGATAACCCGATTTACAGGAGTTGTCATGATATTATAAGACAGATTTATCACCAATATTTTAAAGATTAATATAATACTCGCATTTTCTCGATTATAATGCACACTTTCTTTTTTCCGACTTAATTAATTCGACTCGGTTCTTTTCGTTCGCTCCTCAGTTACGTGTATTACATCATCAATATTCAAGCGCATCCTATCTCTCCATCACTTTGCTTTTGGTTTTCATTAGTTTAATCTTATTTTAATTTTAAAAATACTGTACTTTTTTAATATTTAATATTTTCTTAATTAATTAAGTACAATAAGAAAAATTATTAATTAATAATAAAATGATTTTATTATTTTATCTCATTATACGATTTCATTACAATCACGGAATCGAAAAAGGAAGTAAAACTGATTTTTGCATTAATGCATTTATTGTTTTTTGAATATTTTACCTGAGAAAATACTCGGATATTATTTTTCTAAAAATATCGTGGAAAGACCTACCTGTATTTATTTTAAAATATTTCATATAGTTTTAATTTTATTACTATAAAATTGCATCAGGGATGTAATTTATTTCCGTTATTATTGCATTATAATTTTTTCTGCTCAGGATATGCATCCACTGGGACTTAAATATAAGTAATCAATAATAATAATAAATTAAATTTGTCTGATTGCATTTTCAGGAAAAAAATGAAACTCAAACAGTTTAATTTAAGAATTAAAGTAAACCTTTGCGAAAAATAAAACAAAAAATTAATAAAAACTTTAAAATTATGAAAACAGACCAAAGTTTGTTTTTTAGGCAAAAATAGGCAGCAACGTCAAAATAAGCATTTTTAGGCATTATAAAATACCATTGTTTCGGTCTAAATGTTCATGAAAAGTGTTCGTACAAAATCTTAGCCAAGTATATGCCAAGGAAAAAATAGGCATTTGCCTAAAATCTGCTGTCTACTGATGAATTAAAATGGAGGAATTACAATAGAAGTTGAGAAAAGTTGTTGACTCTTGTCAATTATTTATCACATTCTCATTTATTTGTGTTTTGTTTAAAAAACATGAAATTTCTATCTCCTGATATCATACTTGGTATAGTCAATAACATGGCAATCATAAAATATTTATGTATGTATTGCATAAACTAGTAAACTGCATCTTTTCATCAATTACTGTTTGATACATAAACCAAAATTGCATTCAGCATATATTTTTTTCAGATATATTGCTTTTGTTCCAAATTTAAGTATTTTAATTGCTCAGTAAACAGCAGTTTTCTTTTAACATACATATATATTTTTTAAATAAAGAATCTTCAAATACCGGATTAAAATACAAATATAATCCTTCATCAAACCCTTTAACCGGTATTAAACAGAGTAAAATTACATGCAAACGTTTTCGGATCCCTCCCTGGGTCCTTTCTAACGAATTTTAAGAAGAATAGTTGCTTGAGAACGGACCCAGGGAGGGATCCGAAAACGTTTGCATGTAATTTTACTCTTGTTTAATACCGGTTAAAGGGTTTGATGAAGGATTATATTTATATATTTTTTACTCTGCGTAAAACACTTTGCATAATTGGACAGCTGATTAACTGAGCCCATGTTCTAGTCCCAATTAACTGGAATCTACTGTAATTCTAATTTTCTATTACTTTATTCCTTTACTATTATAAAATATTAATATCATAAAATGTGCAACTCATGAACAAACTGAAAATATGAACAATTTCATTTGTAATTTATATTGCAAGAAATTATAATTTAAAAAGTTTAGTTTATACAACCTAATTTATAATGTTTATAAATTAAAATGAGAAAAAGGATCCTGTCATATAGAATTGATTTTTAGGATTACAGTATAATATATTACCAATTTTAATCACTTACCAATTTCCAAATCCAAATTGTTCAATATTTTCTAAAAGCCTCAGCTCTTCTTTTGATTTCCAGTCATGAGGTGGATTAAAGATTGGAAAATTTCCACAATCCTGAAAATTATTTGATTAATAAGATAATCATCATTAGTATTATCTGAATTTACTAGAAAACTAAATAAAATTAATTAACATTTCACTTTGAATTAATTTTACTTAATCACATAAAAATTAAAATACAGTAAAGCGTCGTTTATCCAAAAGTCAGTTATCTGAAACATTGGTTATCCAAAACCTCAGTTATCCAAAAGAATTCCAGTTGGCAAATTTAAATTTTTGCTAGTGCTGTGGCACTGCAATCTTTGTCTATGTCTTGGGCTACTCCAATATTTTTTATGTTTGTGTATGTGTTTTAGCTGGCAGCACTAGCACTTTTGTGTGGTGTTTTTCTGAGGACCATGTGTCCTGCTGAATCAAACGTTTTTGATACTAGATTAACTTCTAAAGTATAATTTTTTTTGTTTTTATATTTTTCAATATATTTATTTTGTTTGTAAAAAATAAAGAAATAATTTTTAACGATACAATAGCCACGATTATTATTTTAAAAAGTTTACATTGGGCTTAACATCGATAAAAATTCAATGCAAAACGACATGCAACGGAAAAAAATTTCAACACGGGATATATTAATATATTTTTTCATACATAATCGGTTATCCGAAAAATAAGTTAACCGAACAACCTCAGTCCATAATTGATTCGGATAAACGACACTCTACTGTACTATAATTTATCAAATAAAGTTGAAAGGGCAGGTGATTACCTCTTCAAAAAAATAACTTGAATTCAGAGCAAAATACATTATTATTCAACTTACAAGGCAATAAGTAAAGAACATATTGCATAACATTGTACAAATTATATTCATAGACAATTACCAAGCTTTAATAACAATTATTGTCGTCAAAATATGATATTGACGTTTATTGATAATAAATAAACTTATCTGGATATAAAATAAAAATTAAAAAATCTGGAACAAAATATATTTAATTATTAAAGACTAAATACAAAAAAGATATTTGATGTCTTCTGAACATCAACTCACAATCACCAAACATGATAATTCCGGATTTTTTAATCTTTATTTTACAAAGAAATTAAACCACCACTCAAAACTAGTTATACTTGATAAATAAAAGCAAAATAAACCAATAACCAGTACAAAAATATAAGATAGCTAATGTTTTTGCCCATGTTAAACAGGAATCTTCAGGCTAACTGACCACCACAGCTGTTAAAACAACAGGGGATTGCCATACATGTTTTAAGAGGTGACATAAGAGAGAAAGAGAGTGGTAGAGGGGTGTTTGATGTAGAATCCTTCCCACTGGCATGAAAGTTGATCTATGAGCTGTATTTTGTTTGGGATAAAAAAAATATATTCAGGTACAGTACATCTCTGGAGTAGAAGGGGTTAACATACTATAATTAGTATAATAGTAGTTTAAAAAAATTGTGATAAAAATTCTAAGCTGTATATTGCTGAAAAAATAATAATAATCCTTCAACACAATTTTATTTGCATGCAAGGTGCTCGTTAAGGAGTTACAAAAAAAATTTAACAAAACTTTTTAAAATGATGTGGCTTTTATTAACCTGCTTCCTAGAACAATTTTGGTGATAGCTGGTTGGCCAAAACAGTACATGCATCAACCTACTACTTGGTAACCTGGGTTCAAGTCTTCACCAGAAACCTCATATTTTTCTTGGACAGTCTGTCCTGGATATATATAGTACCTGATCCCTTAGTATTTGATCACATCCACTGCAGGTCTGGCTGAACCCATAATGGGCATGAATAAAAAGTCATTTTAGTATCAACACAAAGGAGAAAGTAAAAAGAGAAATTAAAAGAAAACATAATTTTAGTTCTGTTTCGCATTGATATTTATACAGTATAAGTTATACATTTAAAGAAAGGAAAAAAAACTAATAGAATAAAATGCATTTAGCCATGTAGAATTTTAGAATTGATATGTCTGTCACTTTTAAATAATAATAATAATTCCTCATTGATTTTGAAAAAAGGCATAATTTTTTATTAGCTATTCTGAATTTTGAGTTAAGTTATGATAAGAGTAATTCTGAAGAGATTTTCATGGTAAAGTATCGATTCATATAATAGATAAATTTCTATCATTGCAGAAAAACATTTTAACTATTTTCCACTTAGAGCACTGTTGTAGTTATGTCAAATATTTGTGAAATCAGAATTTAGTAAGTGTTGCTTAGTTCTTCATAGAAATTATCATCATCTAGAACAGTGATTCCCAATTAGTTTTTCCTGCGTACCACTTCAAGAAAGAGCTCAAACCCGTGTACCCCTTATAGCAGAAATTCATATTAATCCATACTAATATTTATAAATTCGAATGCAATTCTGCTGTCTGTCACCTTTTCACTTCTAAACCGCTGAACAGGTTTTAATAAAATTTGGCACAGAGATTGCTTACATGTTGGAGATGGACATAGGCTACATTTTACTGCGAGAAAATATCTTACTCCCACGAGAAAATTCGATATAATGCAGGCGAAGCTGTTGTTAGACAGCTAGTGGTAAATAGAATAAGTTTTTTTACATTTATTACTTTTAAAATATAATTCTAATAATAATAAAAATAACATAAGGTTATTTAATTTTAATACGACAAATGTGCACGATTTTCTTTGCACAACTTTGTAAAATCTGGTTGCTTTTTGGTCAGCTTCAGTCTCGAGTCATCTTCGAGTTGAAGTCGGTGACGATGTTTAGTTTTCATGTTTGTCATGGC